AACTGAAATATGTCTATTGGTATACCATCTATTCTTGATAAGACTTTATAAAAAAGTAGAGGGACGACAAAGGAGAGGAAAACCCTCAGCCAGGTGGATTTACACAATGATTGCAGCAGTAGGCTTGAATGTGTCAGAGAATGTGAAGATGCCACAGGATAGGACGGGGTTCAAATCTATTGTTCATACGGGTGCTGAGTCATACTCGACTTGATGGAACTTAACAGCAACAGCAACATTTGGTTCTTCAAGAAGCTCTGGTAGCTAAAAAAAAAAAAAAGATGAAAAGCTGATAGACCATAGGGAGTTAGTTGCACTGCTAACTGAAAGTTGGTGCCATTCTGTAGGTTCAAAACTCATCAGTAGCTCTGGGGAGAAAGATGGATCATCATCTACTGTGTGATTTATAGCCTCCAGATATTCTCCTGAAGGCCACCTATAAGTCAGTTCTGACTCAACAGCAATGAGTTGACGTGATTTGACCTGGTGCTTTAGAAGTTTTACAATTTTTTATTTTTTATTGTTTTCCTGATTTGTAATTCAGTAAAGGGTGCATCTGGTCGCCTAGTGGCAAGAAGCTGCACTGCATTCCTGAAGGCACACAGTTCAAAGCTACCAACTGTTCCGTAGGAGAAGCATGAGTAATCTCGTCCTGCCTTTGAAAACTTGTCAGAGGGTCAGCTATAGGTTTGTTCCAACTCTCTGGTACACAGCAGCAACAGCAAAGGGTGCATAAGGAGCGCCGGTATCATGGTGAGTGAGGAGTTGCACTGGTAGTGCAAAGACAGATGGTTCAAATCCACCAGCTGCTCCATTGGAGAAAGATAGACATTTTCCTCCTATGTGGTTTACAATCTCTGAAAACCTACTGGAGGGTCAGCTTTGCTTTTTACCACTAGGCTACTAGAGCTCTAGGGACAGCAAAGGGTGTTGTTGTTATGTGTCTTCAAGTTGCCTGGAACTCATAGCAAACCTATGTACAATAACTCTGAAGCGTGCCCCATTACTCCAGTTTCTGAGGCAATCCATTTCATCAGGGGTCTTCGTCTTGCAGTGTCCCTCTGCCCTTCCAGGCATGATGTTCCTCTCCAAGGACTGGTCCCTCATAACAACATGTCCAAAGTATGTGAGACAGAGCTTCAAAATCCTTGCTCCCAAGGAGCAGCCTGATTTTACCCTCTCCAG